ATAGCAAGTCCTTTACCCAATGCAATGCATCTACCACCAGCTCCATCCCCTCCTTTTACCTATTTACACCTCCAAAGTCCAGTGTCTTCATGCTTTTCAAACCACTTTCATTAAGGCTGTGTAATACATGAATTCCTAGGGCATATGGGATTCCATTTTCCCATACCGAGAGAAAGAAAATCAATTGATCTCAGATTTAAATAAATAATCCTAACATAGAAACCAATCTATACTTTTTTGGATGACCAATTAGTCTTTATCGATACTAATCATTCCAAGTAATGCAAAGTTAAAAAATAAAAACCAAAAGCAAATCCAAATAAGCAAATTACCTCAAGAAATTACTACTACATATGTACATAATTTGCATGAATTCGAAAGCAAAATCACACACTTTATAATGTGTAAGATGTACTTCATTCTTTGATATATATTTATTTATCATCCCCTTCAGGAGGGTATGAACATTAAAACTGGACACACACTTAAAATCCTCATTTGGCAAGGTTTTCCTCACTTGGAAAGTCCTGCACTCAACCCCATTTAACTTCTATAACATGATTTTCTCAAGTGCTCATAGCTTCTATTAATTAATATAGATACTATTCTCTAATGTCATTTATATCATCTTACCATGCCCCCGGTAAGACATTAAAAATTATAGAAAATGATTATTTAGATTTTGAGGAAAAACTATTAAGATAAAGTTATCCTGGCCTGCTTTAATTAAAGTTATCCTGGCCTGCTTTAATAAATGTATCAAACAAATAATCCAGAAATGAGAATATTTAATTTTATTCATGACACATGCAATTATATGTGTTGTGTATCTTTTGTCCTTTAGTACGAAGACTATGGGAAAATCAAGCAATATCTAGATTTCAGACCAAATAAACCTCTTAGTCACAGCTTAATGTTTTTCTCATATACAGAAATAACACCTCTGAAATTACAAAAATTTATAATATGTCTATGAAACTGTATAGACTAATTTAGATGAAAATGACTAGGATAGAAGGCATTAAATATTAATCATCTACCACTAAGTAGTACCAATGTGAAAATTTAAAACGTAAGGAATAAATAATTGGAAAACTCCTTTAGAATAGTGGTTCTCAACCTTCCTATGCTGTAACCCTTTAATACAGTTCCTTGTGTTGTGGTGACCCCCAACCATAAAATTATTTTTTAGTTGCTACTTCATAATTGTAATTTTGCTACTGTTATGAGTTATAATGTAAATATCTAGTGCTCAGGATATATGATATATGGCCCCTGTGGGGGTCATGACCCACAAGTTGGAAACGACTGCTTGAGAAACCAAGACAGAAGTTTGTAAACATAGTATCAGACTACTCAAAAACCACCACTCAGAGGCAAGAGAGCAGCTACATTTTCAAGCCACTGGCAAAAATAATTTACATCTTAGAATCCTATACCTAGAAAGACAGTCAATCTGGGAATAAGGATTCAAAAAAGTAATGTCACCAAGTGAGGAAACATGTCCTTGTAGTCACTGAGAGAACAAGCTGGGGTGGGAGGCCTCCTGAGCCTGGGAGCTATGAGAGGCCATCCTGGACAGCCTGGTAAGACCTCATTGCAAAGATAAATGAAATGAATACAATAACAAGACTATCAGGTACATTTTAAAAAGTACCTTCATGCATCATAATTAGGAAGATATTGAAAGTTTTTAGTAAAATAAATACATCCAGAAAGAAAAACATAGGAAATGTGACTCCCTTAGTGGGTTTTAAAAAAATCACAAGGAGAATGCTAAATAATGGATAATAGATACTAGTACATAATGTCTAGGATAATGGTAAATAACAGATAATGAGTAACAATGAAGGATCTCTAGGATAATTGTAAATAATGGATAATGAGTAACAGTAAAGGATCTCTAGAATGATGGCAAATTGGCTTCCAGACAGAAACTACCTATGACTGGCCTGGCAAGCTTAGAAAAAGCCCACTGTTCTAAAGCTTCAAGACAGAAGAGGATCAAGCAACCTGATGTTCTTCACTGCACGCCAGACATGTCAGCAAGCTTTAATGATGAAACACAGAAGGCTGGAGGACAATAACTTAATTATTCTAGGAGAAAGAATGAGCTGCAGAAAACAAAGGAATAAAATCCGGTCATCTACACTGCTCAGTTGTGAAAAGTTATACAATAATCAACAACATCCACAAACTAAAATTCATAGTCATCTACACAGCTCAGTCATGAAAAGCTACGTATTAATCATGAACACACATACAACTAACACTGACTGACACAAAAAGCAGGAAGAGGCCTTTACCTGGAAGATGAACTGGGACATCAAGACAGGAGTAGGCTGGCAATATAACTTAAATCTGTTTTCAGTTTTAAGTCTTATTCTACTCTGTGAACTTCAAGCATACTCATATAACTCTTTCAAAAATATTAAAATGTAATTAAATAACAACAATAAGCAGAAACATGAATGAAAAGATAACACCAAGTTCCTAACTACTATTTTCTCTGACTCTGAAATACTTCAAGCAAAGGTAAGAGGAAGAAACACAAACTGCAGGTCTTCTTGCAGAATACGCTCTCCTGGGCAGGCAGCAGAATGGAAGACTTCTGAATTAAGTAATCTACAGCTTGGGTTATGCAATCTCTTCTTATTCCTGTCCTTTCCAGCAGTCTCATGTATAACTTGTAGAATAATTCATATTACTTCCATCCTTTAAATGCTATACATAGTATATATGGACATATATGAATGTTTCATCCTTCATTGTGTGTTTGTAAGATTTAAGCTCCAGGAATTCACTAACATCAAGTATCAATTACATGGAATATGTATGCTCTGCACCCTTCCAAGAGAAGCCAAATGCCTCATATTTTCATTAATATAAAAACTGGGTATGGCAAGTGGTGGTAGCCCATGCCTTTACTCCCAGCACTTGGGAGGCAGGGGCAGATGGATCACTGTGAGTTCAAGGCCAGCCTGGTTTTCAGAGCATTCCAGGACAGCCAGGACTATTATAAGGAGACCTTATCTCCAAAAACAAACAAACCAAAAAGACTAAAAACCATAACAACAACAATAAAATCAAAACAAAAAAACCTGAGTAGCCAATATGTAACTTTTCCTAAACCATCCAACAAGTAAAAGTGGCACCAGGAGTCATAGCCATACCCATGACTGAAAGCCCCATTCTCCTACTACTCTAGTGAATAAATATTTATTATATGCTTTCTATGTTCTAGGATATTACACATGCTGAAAGTAAGTGATAAAATATAAGCCATTGCCCTTTATGGTAATTATATTCAAATGAAAAAATACTGACATAATTACACATACAACCTCCAGGTACAAGAAGGTAGGAGCTGGAAGAGTGAGGAAGTAGACCAGTCAGCAGTGAGAAGGTTGAGAACCTCTAGGGGCAATGTTTAAGCAAGACAGGCAAAGAAATTCTGATGGTGAATTGTTAGCCACAACTGACTTTACTCAAGGACAAATGGAAGGTCACTGAAGCAAAAATGGAGTGAGAAAGCAAAAGGTTAGAATATGACAGAAAGAAGATGACAAAATATGCAGAGTCTAATACACTATTGTAAGGAAATAAATACATTTTCTGCTTATAATAGAAGCCACTCAAAAATGGTATGGTTTATGTGTAAAAGTCGTGTTAGGTGCAATGTCAAAAACTGACAGAGACAAGAATGAATATAAAATCACCTAGGAAGGTACAGCAAAACCTGAGATTAGCAGCCACACAACAATCACATGAGGCTAGTAAGAATTGTAAGGGTGCCTAATATACAAACAAGATGCTGAAAACAGAGAAGAAAACATATTATTTTTTGCATTATATGGTATTTATACTGTTATTAAAAACAATTAAAATTACTTTCACCTGATTATAAATATATAGTGACTATAAAATTTTAAAATACAAGTGTCATTTCATGATATTTCTATCTGCTTTATATGGTAATTTACACTAGAGTTTTAAAAAGACACAATGGTAGAAAAGTATTGGTTTGGCTGGACAGTGGTGGTGCATGCCTTTAATGCCAGCACTCAGGAGGCAGAGGCAAGCATTTCTCTGTGAGTTTGAGGCCAGCCTGGTCTGTAGAGTTTCAGGATAGCCAAAGCTATGCAGTGAAACCCTGTCTTGAAAAACAGGAAGGAAAGAAGGGAGGGAGGAAAGAAGGGAGGAAAGGAAAGGGAGAAAAATAAAAAATTTGGATTAGAGGTATATTTAAAAAGAAGAATCCATATAACTTGCTGACCAGATGAAGCATAGGTAAGGAAAGAAGTAAAAGCACTAACGGTTCCAAAAAATTGGGCCTGAGGAGCTTTGGAAATTATAGTAGTACTATTAGGATGGTGTATGAATATAGACTGAAACCCCAATTCTGTTTTAGATTGTCTCTGAGCTACCTTGTTAGATTTTCCAACAGATATGTCAAGCCTTGATCTCAGAAGAAAAACAATAAAGAATCATCATTTTCATGCAGTGTATGCAGTTAAGAGTTTTCAGCCTGAGAAGCTGTAATAACAGCTACTGCTCTCTACATGCATATACTCCGAAAGTGCGGATTACCTACAACGTGATGCCAGAAGCATATACATTAGACTCATGCATGACCCAAAATTCTACTAATACTAAACATGTGAAGAAACATAAACATGAAGTTCAAATGCTTTAACCAAATAGTCCCAAAATACCACCAAACTAAAATGTGATGCTCAGCAATATTTTAAATTTCTCTATCCTTCAATTTAATTACCAAGAATATTTATGTTTTCTAAGGTAATTAACATCATACCTGGCACACAGGTGTAGCTTATTATGTATATAACAATTATTAATGAAATTGTGCTTTAAGAAGTAGAAGGCATAAGAGGTAGAAAAAGTAATAATATACATAAGATTCTTAAAGTTCATTCTAGTTCTACTTTAATATTATAATATAGTATCTTATCGCAGAACTCACCATAATTGTGTCTTACCTGTAAGTAGTGTTTGGAACATAGACATCCCTGGCAGGAAATTCCAGAATTTCTCTGGTGGGCCTGACTCGGCTGTCAGGGTAAAGTTTCACCTGAAGCAGCTCTGGGGTTAAGCAGTAATGGGGATTTTCAGGTGCAGGAGAAATGTCTATCTTCAGCTGAGCTGCAGGAAATTATAAAGTCACCATGAACATACACGCTGTGATGGCTACACTTGGACCTGCAGTGCCTCCCAAAGACTTTTCCACCAAGACATGGCACTAACTGGGGAATGGCAGAGATTTTAGGAGGCAGGACCTTGTGGAAGGAAGTTCCATCACCGGAAGTGTGCCCCTAAGGAGCATCCTCTGGTCCTTCCACCTACTTCTGGGCACCATAAACTAAACAGCTTTGTTACACCCAGTGCAGTTTCACCAAAGTGTTCCACTCCAGGATGAGTCCCAAAGCAAAGCCACTCACCTAAAGGCTGGAAGCTCTCAAAAGTGGGACAAAGGAAAACATCCCTCCTGTTAAGTTGACTAATCTTAAAATTTATTCTCATTTGAAGCAATCTGCTATAGCAACAGAATGTTTACTAACACAGTTAATGTAGGATTTTTACATTATTTTTTTAAAAATCTTGGAGAAAAGTATAGAAATCAAATTATTAAGAACTTTGATATTGCTGGGCGGTGGTGGCGCACACCTTTAATCCCAGCACTTGGGAGGTAGAGGCAGTCGGATCTCTGTGAGTTCGAGACCAGCCTGGTCTACAAGAGCCTGGTCTACAAGAGCTAGTTCCAAGACAGCCTCCAAAGCCACAGAGAAACCCTGTCTCAAAAAAAAAAAAAAAAAAAAAGAACTTAGATATTGAAATCATTCCATTTTATCAGATTCAAATTGTTAAAATGACTTATCTATGCATAAGTGCATATGAAATTCTATATGAATGAATGAGAAGTGAAGAACTAAAGAACAAGACAGCAAGTTGGGCATGTTGATGCACACCTTTAATCCAAGCACTCAACAAGTAGAGGTAGACAGATCTCAAAGGACAGCCGGTCTACAGAGCAAGTTCCAGGACAGCCAGGGCTACACAGAGACCCCTGGGTAGTCAAAGAACAAAACAAAAACAAGACAACAGATGGGCTCTAGCATAAAACTGGCCAAACTTTCAAAAGAAAAATGACTTGATTTTTAGGTTGATGGGCTCTTCATTGCACAGATGTTAACATCTGGTTTAGCAGACTCATGGTCAGCTCCATTCTGGACTGTTTGCTCTAACAGTGACAGTGACCCATTTCTAAATATTTGCTTTTCCATATGCACTTTAAGCCACTACTATTAATTCATCATTCTTATTTTAGAACTCATTTAACAATGGTTCTGAATTCTGAATCCAAATTGTTAGCCCACATTGTAGTGAGATGAAAAACACTGACAAGTATTGAGCATAGAAACATGAGAAAAGGGAATACATGATGGCAAATAATCATGTATTACCATAATTACCATATCATTCAAAACCTGGAAATACCTGTAATTGGTCTCAGCCTCCGTAGGACAGAAGATGGCCTTCTCATATCTGCAAGGAACTTGTACAGATCTTCATCGCTTAAGCGGTCTCCTTCCTGATTTCAATGATATTGAGAAAAAGTATTTCATAATACAAAAGTAGGAAATGGGAAATATTTTTTTTAGTCTTTGCAAATAAGCACTGATTTTTCATACAGTGCTGTCAGAATGAAACACTGACATATTTATTAGGATATTTATTAGGATAAATATCTTCCTAACCTGGCTCTTGTTTTCACACCTGAGATTTATAATGCTATCAGTCATTTTAATCTATGTACACAGTTATGATCTATTACTTAGCCCATAAAGTGTTATAGGACATCTAGTATACAGACAACCAATACAAATTAAAGGTAGGTATAAAAAGAAAATCAAGAATGTAGACATAAAACAACCAAAAGAAGATAAACACAAGAACATGTAACAATTACATGTCACAATTAGGACCACATATTTCTTTTTAACTTTATATCCTGACACTTCTGAAATGCAAAATTTTTAGACATGTTACATTTCACAAAAATAAATGACAAATATAATGATGTTAGGAAAAACACAACTATCCTGATATGAAGACCAGAGAGGAAACTCCAAATGGGGGGGGGGGGGGGGGGGGGGGGACGGGACGACACACGACACTAAATTGTGTTCAAAACAATAGTTAGGTAGATTTTAATATTTTATTAGAAAGTAAATCTGTACCTGCTTTTTTTTTTTTACATGCTTTATTGTCACATCTGAATACTATCTGTATTATCCTATCACTGCAAGTGATTTCGACATATTTTAGCCTCTTTGTTTCTGTGCCAGCTCCCATTTTTTTTAATAGCGTGGGAAACAGAACTCCCTTTGTACTATTTCTTGGGAAAAAGATTTTAATGTCTAAACAGTGTCTATTTTGGGTTAGTACCTCTAAAATGGTTCTTTTACTGAGTAACTAGTAGAAAATGTGGCTTTATAAAATAAAATTCAAGCTGGGAGGTAGCACATGCCTTTAATCCCAGCAATCAGGAAGCAGAGGCAGGGAGGTCTCTGTGAGTTCAAGGCCAGCCTGGTCTACAATGAGTTCCAGGACAACCAAGTATACACAGAGAAACCCTTTCTAGAAAAACAAAAAATAAATAAATACATAAATAAATAAATAAGATGGAGAGGCTTTATATGATTAATTAATTTAAAGTTTCAATTAGCTGCTAAAACAGTATATTCTCTTTACTGAGCATACAATATAGACCTTCATTCTTTTTTTGGCAAATAATTATGACTTTTATTTTGTTACTTATGAAAGAAAACATCATTAGGTATTGGTTAGATTAGGTATTATAAGAAAGAAGTAAAGTTTTAGAAAAACTATTACAATAATCATCATACACTAAAGAAAACCTCATTCAGCCCTCAATGGATGGCAGCCATTGCTCTAGGTGCTGATTGTATAGAAAAAGAAAACCCCCAGGAGCCCCTTCACTGGTATGGGAAAGGGCAAAGTGGCTAGTTGGGGACTCAGAGCTGGTAGAGAGCTTCCACACCTGGTAGAATGTCACTCTCCATGGAAGTTAGACCTTCATTCTTTATCCATTAATACATTCAAGGTTATCCCTAGACTTACTTTTATTTACTTAATGCATTAAATTATATTACTAGCCTACATCCTTTTGTTTTTTGTTTTGTTTTGTTTTTGTTTTTTCAAGACAGGGTGTAGCCCTGCTCTCCAGGAGCTTGCTCTGTGGATCATGCTGTCCTCAAACTCAGAGCCCGATCTCCCTCGGCCTCCCAAGGCTGGATTAAAGTTGTTCACCATCGCCACCTGGCTAGCCTCCATTCTTTAGTGATGATTACCATCTGTTTCTGTGCCTTTTACTGGGTAGGACATAATTTCCTTCCCCATACTTCCCTCTTGTCACTGAGCAAATACCCAAATTAAGACTTATAAAACATTCGTATGACCCAACTCTCCCTCTCTTGAATTTCTGTCTCTAGTAGAGGATGGAAAAGCTGAGTTTTCCTAGAAACCAATCTAGATCAGCTGATCCCGCCAAACTCCAAACATGGGAACAAGCTGAGCTCACAAGAATGGTCAAACTGACATTATTCACATCATTGCTTGTTTAGTACTGTGTACTCCTGAGGCAAAAAAAAAAAAAAAGCCCAATATTATTAATATATACAACAAATGTCTTTTACAACCACTGCATGGATTTACTATTGTTTTAAAACCTCTGTGTAGCTGGGCATTGATGGTGCACACCTTTAATCCCAGCACTCGGGAGGCAGAAGCAGGAGGATCTCTGTGAGTTCGAGGCCAGCCTGGTCTCCAGAGTGAGTGCCAGGATAGGCTCAAAAGCTACACAGAGAAACCCTGTCTCGAAAACTGCCCCCCCCCCAAAAAAAAACCTCCGTGTATTTCTAAGAATTTTGGGTTGGTACATTTGAAACCTTTCATGATTAGCTGTACCACTACAACTACAGAGAGTAATTTCTCATAAAATGGACAACCTGTTATGTTTTATATATGTTAAATAACTAAGACACTTGTCGCTCTTGCAGAGGACTCAGGTTCAATTCCCAGCATCCACCTGGTGTCTCAAGACCATCTGTAATTCCAGTTTCAGGGGATCTGATGCCCTCCCTTCTAGCCTCCACTGGCACCAGGCACATATATACACACAGGCCAAACACTCATGCATATAAAACAAAACAAATAAATGTAAAAAAATAAGGTTACTTTTTAAATGTAATTTTGTTAAACAGCAAATACTCAAAAAATACTAACTGGATAAGTAGAAATGGGGAAGATGGCTTGCTCACTTAACTATACAGTACCAGTTCATTATACAGCTGACTACAGAAGCAAAAAGCTGGCTGTGTAAGCAGGAAGAGAAGTGACACTGCAGCCAAACAGGTTGGCCAGGGGAAATGTCACACCTATAAGGTTGTATCAGTCCCTGTGATTGGCCAACCACTTCATCACATTTTTACTACTGTCCATAACACAAAGCTTCTTGTACTGGAGGTGCTCCCCACTTGTTCCCTCCTTCCACTCTCTCAGAGCTGCTGACAGACCAGTGCTTCAAGGAGACTCCAATTCAAAGCATACACATTCTGCTCCTGTCCTCTTAAATATCATATACCAGAAGGCCAGGTGCTCCCTCCCACTCATAACACCTCAGAAGGAGGAATACAGAGGTAAATCTCAGCCCCCAAATTTATGGTTGGTATACCTCTCTAGTCTGTCACATAAATAAAAGTTTTCTTCTCATTCTTCCATAGTTTTGAGTCATTTGGTCACATAAAACATATTTTCATTTTTTTTAGTCTTGATTCATACTATAAAACCCAAGTGACATCAAAATCCAGTGTATACTTGCATATACAAATGCATTCACATTAAAAAAAAAGAGGGGGGGGGAAGGAGGACTCTGTGAAGCAATATTTAAACTCAATATATGAAATGCACTTACTTTTTGGATTTTAAAATTCTGCTTTTTAAAAAAGCTATGTTTCCTACTAAATTGACTGCCTTGAAATGACATGTGAAAAACACTGAATTGATTTGAAGTAGACAGAATAGATCTATAAGAATAAAATGTCTTTGATGAAACTGTATCTTGGAAACTCAACTTTGCACCTACAACATTAAGTTTTAGCACAGGAACGGGGCCTGGCAGCTCTATCTCGTGAACCACAGGTCAGATAGCTATGGTCAGAAAATGTTGGATGGGGAAGCACATGGTCACTCTGACAATTCACAAACCATCAGAGTTTAAGAAAGGCCTATGGGGGCTAGAGATGGCTCAGCGATGAGGACCATGTGCTATTCTTGCAGAGGGCTCAAAACCACCTGTAACTGTGGCTCCAAGACAATCTGGTGTCTCTGGCCTCTGCAAGCACTTGCCCACATGCTCACACACAGATACAAATGCATACACAGAATCAAAGATCGTAACCATTAAAGTAGGTAAGTTCACTATTACAACTGATTAAGATATAGGTGTGAAAGACAAATTTTGATGCTTTAAAAATGTCAGTGTAAGCATTTAAATGAAGTTAGTGATAAAACAAGTACAATGTCAATTATTATACATTCTTACTAGATTTAGTCATATTTATTTTTATCTTAAAGTTGTTAGTTCTTGACATTATAACATGGACATACACAGAACAGTTACCACTGTCCTGAAAGGAAGTGAGATCTTGTACTAACACCTCCCCAGAGCCCCACATAACAGAACATTACCTGCTTAAAAAAGTTTGCCACAGTGAGGGTGGCAGGCCGAAAGCTGGTCAAGTTGCAAGCATCATCTCCACTGGTAGTTCTTTCCAGAGACCGTCTACCAACAAGACTAGAGTTCCTCCTCTCTGACCAAGAACCCTTTCTTTCTGCCAAGGGAGAGAAAAGATTGTCAGTTTTATAATGTAACAATGTTTTTAATTAGCTTTCCCAAAACAAGAAATAATCCATTCATGCTAAAAGTTGTATTTTAGTCAGCTTACAGGTTATTACAGTAGAAAGATTCACTTCTGGGGAAAGCAGTAAGAAAGAGTTCAACCTGAATCTTCTGTCTCACTTCTACAATTCTGCTGATACAAAGTCTCTAGCATATAATGATCTAAATGTATGGCCAATGATGTAGTGAATCACCTAGAGATCACCTAGGTAGAACTATGCACCACCACTAAGTACCCACCAAAGTAAAATGTAATTAATGGTCTCTGGCCTTGGCACCTTAGCATTTGAGCTGGAAACAAATTCAAAAGACAAGTTGCAAGTTCAAAGACTTGGCAGGATGATATATCTCCTCACCCCACCCCACCCCTCCACACACACACACACACTTATGCTGGAATGCAAACCCAGGGCCTCATATATATAAGATAATCCCATTTTTGTGAACTAAAAGAACAACAATATTAAAGATTAACAAGGCAAGAAGACTTTTAAAAAATATGCAAGCAATGTGGTCTAAGGACAGTTACACCAGACTCTACTAAGCAAAAGCAGAGTATATGCTATTCTCAAGCAGTTGTAGGACAATATTCTCCAAGACACCAGAGAAGATATGAAAAGATCAAAAGGTTGGAAATAAAATATTTACTAAAAATTGGATAACAAAACTATAAATTAACAATAAAAGAATAATTAGGGAATTCACAAATATGCATAAGTGAAAAATAAAACCCACGTTTCTAAAAAGCTATTAGGAAAGAGCTGTTCTCAAAGGCAATTAGAAAGTAAGAAGTATGGATGCAGCACACCAAAACATGTGTGATACTGCTCCTGCTGGGCTCAGGTGATGGCCAGAAATGCTTCTAATCAAAAGAACTGTGTGACATGCCAGCACAAGTTGGTATTACCGGTGCTTGGCAGACTGACATGGGGCAACTGCAAATCCAAGAGTGGTCTATGCTGACAGCAAGACTCAAATTTAAAATAAAGAAAACAAACTCTCACACCCATAACATCATCTCACACTTTAAGGAAGTATGTGTCTAAAGAAGCTGGGCATGATTCCCCATGTCTCCATGACAACACTGGAGAGGCAGGTCATGAGATGAGGATTACTATGTACTGAAACCTCTTTCAGAAAAAGAAACTAAACCCAAAGAAAACAGAAAGTTACAAAAGGACAGTGGTAGAATGTGGAAATAAGTGAAACAGAAACTAGAAAAATAAAGTCAACAGACTTCATTAAAACCAACAAACCTTTAGTTAAACTGAAGGGAAAATACACAAAGACTAAAATTACTATACTATATCCCCGAATCAAAGTGATATCACTAGATCTTACAAGTAGAAATGGTTATATAACAATGAAACAAACAACTGTAGAATAATAATTCAATAACAAGGTGAAAGCCCCATTTAAAAGCCAAGCATTGATAATTTTTTTTTTAAAAAAAGCAAATATTTTAAATGGTCAATGCATGTGAATATGGTACTTCTCCAAAGAAGATCACAATGAGTAAACACACACTTAACATCATTAGCTATCAGGGAAGGAAAACCCAGTCCTGAATGAGACACCATTTCACCTATACTAGGATGCTATCATTAATATTAGACAGTATTTTGTACTGGCAAAGATGAGGACAGAACTTTTTTTTAAGATTTATTTATTTATTATGTATACAGTGTTTTGCATGAATGCAGGCCACAAGAGAGTGCCACATCTCGTTATAGATGGTTGTGAACCACCATGTGGATGGTGGGATGCTGGGAATTGAACTCAGGACCTCTGGAAGAACAGCAGGTGCTCTTAACCTTGGAGCCATCTCTCTAGCCCCGAACTTTTTTTTTTGGAAAGATTTATTTATTTAGAATGGTAAGTGTTCTATCTGCATGTATGCCTTTATGCCAAAAGAGGCATCAGATCCCACTATAGATGGTTGTGAACAACCATGTGGTTGCTGGGAATTGAATTCAGGACCTCTGGAAGAGGAGCTAATGCTCTAACCAATGAGCCATCTCTCCAGCCCAGAAACAGGAACTGTTTCTTTTATACAGTACTGGCAGAATTTTTAAAGGGCAGCCATACTGGAAGATAGTTTGACAGCCTCAGAATGTTTACCAAGGAATTACCACAAGATGCAGCAATTTCATTTCTAGCTATACAGTCAAAAGAAATAAAAACACACAAATATGCAAAGGCTTTTACAGAGACCGGGAATGTAGATCAGTAGTAAAGTGCTTTGTTTAACATGCATGAGAGGCCATGGGTCCAATCCAGTACTGGGGACCTGAGAACAACTTCTATATGGTTGTTCACTATGGTATTTCCATACACTCAAATTGTTATCAACAATGAACAGATCAAATAAAATGTAGTACATAAATACAGCTGGGTATCATGACAACAAAAGGAAATCAAACACCAATACATGGCTACACCATGGGTAATGCTTGTGAAAACATTATGCTATATGAAACAAGCAACATCATACACTATTTAATTTTATTTACATTAGATGTCTGGAATAGACCAGTCCATAAAAACAGAAAGTATATTAGGGGTTGTTTAGGGATGGACTTGGGAACTTGGGGATAATGAGGAGTAATTGCTAATAGGTATGAACATATTCCAAATATCGACTTTGATGGTGCCTGTACAGTCCCATAACTATAGCAAAAGAAAACACCATAACATACACTTTTAAAAGGTGACTTCATACCATGCAAATTGTATTTCAATAAATAGACAATATTTAAATTTATTTTCCCCCTTCTTTAGTTTTTTGTTGTGGGGTAAGGGGTGGCACGACCTCATGAATAAAGCCTGGGCTGACCTGGAACAGAAGCTGCTGCTGACTCAGCTGAATGCTGGGATTAACAGGTGTGTAGCACCAGCTAAGGAAATCTTTTAAAGAGTCACCGGACACTCTCCTGGTGATACAATAAAACAAGCCTATATAAGGGGGAGAGATTACTGCTTTAGAAACAATGTATACAAAGCACTCTTACCTCCAGTACTGATTTCTACTTCTGTGGAGTCTCTTTCTAAGCTGCCAGCACTGCTAACAATATTCATTAAATGAATTGCAGTCCAAGCAAAAGGCATGCGATATTTCCCAAGTCTCTGGCAAAACTGATCAGCTTGACTTTTCAGCTTCTCCAATTTTTCCTTATTCTGTAAAACATAACTTGATCCATGATCACACTTGAAGGAAACCACCTACGGGTTAGGTTACACAGTATCAAGGGAGGGTTAAGTGTTCAATTCTTAGCAAAGAGAGCAAAACAAAGCATGCAGCCCAGAAGTACAGTGCTTGCTTGACCATCATGTGCAAGCACTTAGGTTCTCTCCTCAATGTGAAGGCGAGAAAATAGTAACTTCCATCTGTCAAAACACAAGGTACTACCTGAACATGTCTCAACTCATTCTACAAACGTATGCATGGACTAAAGCACTGCAGTTATCTATTTATGATGGGGTCAACCTGACAAAAAAGAAAGATGAGAGGACCAAGCACACGTATGTACCGAAAGTGATCTTTTAGGAAAGGAAGTTTAACTATAGTCAGTCTTTTTAACACAAAGCTTAATACCAAAAGAACTGGAAAAGAAAAAGATCTAGAAAAGATGTGTCTTTATGAGCTCCACATAAAACCTAAGGCTTTCTTAAAAATTTCTCAAAAACTGAGTCGTTCTCAAAACTTTCTTAAAAAAAAAAACAAAAAAAATCTGCCCATGCAAAGATTTGAGCTTATGATATGCTTTTCTGATCTTTGGTTGTGTTAAAAGTATTTTGGCTTTTCCCTAGGTATCTATATATTATTTAACACATTAAATCATTTCTGCTACATAAGCTCACAATTATACGAGTGCCTTATTCTATTTTGTTCTGTACACAGTTACACTGGCTGGTACATGTAAGCATGCTTGATATTTAGACAACTTTCTGTTCCTCTTTTTCTTTTTGGTCAGGATTTCATGCATCCCAGACCATCTGCAAACTTGCTATGTATTCAAGGATGGCCTTGGACTTTTTCCTACCACTTCTACCCCAGGATTATAGGCATATGCTACATGAGCTTTATGAAGTGCTAGGGATTGAGACCATGGCTTTGTGCATGCTAGCAAATACCTCTACCAAATGAACTGTACCCCTCACCTGTATTTAGGTTCTTGAAGCAAGAACTCTTTGGATGTACAGTAGACACAGCAGTAACTACTGGTACCACTGTGAGAGTTTCTCTCTCCCCCTAGCTGTACTATTTAGGTTTTTGCCAACTTGATACAAACTAGGTTCATCCGGGAAGAGGGTACCTCAATTCAGAAAATGCTTACATCAGATTAGCTTGTAGGCAAGTCTGTGGGGGTATTTTCTTAATGTGGAAGAGCCCAAACCACTGCAAGCAGTGCCACCCCAGTGGTAGTTCCACCAGGGTGGAACAAGGGCAGCTAACCCTGAACCTGTAACAAGTTAGTCATCATTTTCTCCACAGTCTTCTACCTCTAGGTTCCTGCCCTGATTTCCCTCAGGGATGGTGGACTGGTCAGTTTTACGTCAACTTGAAATAAGTTAGTCATCAGAGAGGAGGAAATCTCAATTAAGAATATGCCTCCATAAGATCTGGCTATAAGGCATTTTCTTCATTAGTGATCCATGACAGAAGGCCCAATCCATTGTGGTTGGTGCTACCACTGTGCTGGTAGTCCTGGGTAAGCAAGCTTCCATGTTCCTATTTGAGTCCCTGTCCTGACTACCTTCAGCAATGGTCTGCAAGTATAAGCCCAATAAACCCTTTCTTCCCCAAGATACTTTGGCATGGTGTTTCGTTGCAGAAAATGGTAACTGTAACTAAGACAAATAGACTATGACCTAAGATATATAAATCAAATAAACCTTTTCTACCCCAAGTTGTTTTTGGTCATGGTGTTTATCACAGGAATACAAAACAAACTAGGATGCTATCCCTGAGTCCCAAGCAGAACACTCATCACAACACACCTCACTCTAAATGAGAAAAGTGGCAGGTTTCAGAGGCATCCTAAACTCTGTAGTGTTTTTCCTTTGTTTCTTTTATTGTTAGTCTGGACTTGTTTATCATTGGCCTATTTGCATCCCTGTTCCCATCTCATGCTATTTCCTTCCTTTACAACGCAACAATTTAACAAGTCATACCCTGGATATTTTGCTGCTGGCCGCTGCTGATGACACCACAGCTATGTTCCTTTCCTAACCTACCACTTGTGATACTTGTGACCCTTGCCCATCTTTCTTTTCTCTCAAAATGACAAAATTGCAAACAGTAATTTCAATGCTAGGAAGTTTCATCAACATCACTATTTTGTACATTAAAAAAAAACCTTAAAATTATTTAGAAGTTAAATTTAATTAGCTTAGTTCTCATCAAGAAAAACAATTTTTAAGCTCTACTTAAATTGCTATTACTACTACTCTTAGTGGAGAGGAGTGGTGAGGGGTATTTCAGTATGTGTGTCTTCAAGTTCAGAAGAGAACATTTGTATCTGGGGTCAAGCTAAGGTCATCAGGCTTGTACAGCAAATGCCTTTACCCACTGAGTTATCTCTCTGCCCTTCCTGCCAAAAAACAACTTTTAAAGACTTAGATGTAGTTAGAACTTTTTAAGACTATCACAGGATACAACACAAGCTAAATGACAAAGAAAACGGGGAAGCAGGATGAAAGGAAGAAGACAGAAATGAATTAACAGTAAAAATTTTTAGAGATTTTATATGTTTTATTTTTCCCAAATTATAATAGGAGTGATATGGGAAAATGAGGGACCTGACACGGTACCTTGGTGGCATCAGCTTCTTTGAAAATCATATACGGTTCTGCACACTCTCCAATGTCTCCTTGCTGTAGGACTTTTTCTAGCTGTCAGAAGCAAAAACAGAAAAGTTTAGCTAAGGTTTTAAAAATAAATGCACTCACTCAGAAATGCAAGGATGGCTCAATATATTAAAAATAATATAATACAGCACATATTAATAGAAAGTCAGAGGAAAAGGGAACGATTGCCTCCATGCAGAATATGGGTTTAAAATATAGCTCAGAATCACTTCCCTGTAGAAACATTTAAAAAACTATGAATATGAGGAAACTACCTCAATATTAAAAGGCTAACTATGAAAAGCCCACAGCTAACATTCTCAAGAGTGACTCAAAACTTTACTTTTAAAATCAGCAACAAGACAAGAATACCAAGTTTAGCATTTTTTATACAAACCTGTACTTGGGTTTGTTGAAGAGGCACTCTGTCCAATGAATCTGGTTATGGAGGCTGCTAATGCAGCTCCATCCTTACTTTACTTTATATTTATCTAAAAATCAAGCCCAAATGGTTCTAATGCCTACATGTAACACTAAAAAACTACAAAACTTTTTTTTAAAAAGTTCTTTACAGACTCAGAAGTGTTTGTTCTTGAATGTGATAGTACAGGAATACAGGTAAAAACAGACAAACTGTATCAAAACTTAACACTACATTAAAGAACAAAATAAGCAGAATGAAAAGACAAATGGGATAAAATTATATGCAAAGTGTATGTCTGACTACAAATTAGTATTTCAAATGCATAAAGAGCCCTACAACTCAGGAAAAGCAACTGTTATGATGAGAAATCCAATTAACCAATAAACAAATGATTTTGTTATAGTCCAATGTAAAATGTCCCAAATAAACTCATGTGTTTCAATACTTGGTGCCCAACCAGTGGAGCTGTCCTGGAAGATTATGGAACAGATAGAAGTAGAGATTAGCTAGAAAAAGGTTGATGAGGGCCGGCATTGGGCTTTTATGGCCCACATTTTCATCCTGAATGCTCTCTGCTTCCAGTTCCACAAAGGCATGAAAAGGTGAGGAGTCTCAGCTACAGTGCACCCTTGTCACCCTGCAGGTGCCACCAGCTACTGGGTCTTCCCCTGCATTATGGAGGATATCCCCTCGAACTGTTAGCCAAAGTTCTTCCTTCCCTAAGTTGCTTGTAATTGGTTATTTGGTAAGACCAGGAAGAGAAGTAACAAATGCAGAAAGTGATACCAGAGGTGGGATTGTCACTGTGACAAAGCTGACCATATGGTTCACAGAACCTTGGAGTGGGCCTAAAGAAGGAATGTGGAAGAATCTGGTCTGTGTTGTTGTAGGTCTGCCTGCCTGCCTTCCCTCCCTCCCTCCCTCCCTCCTTCCTTCCTTCCTTCCTTCCTTCCTTCCTTCAGAAAAGGGAATGTTTACCATGTGTCACTGTACTCTGGGATAATGTCACTTGTTTTTATTGTTTCTGTAGATGCTACAGAAGCTCAGAGTTAAGAGACTGACTTCAATCAAAGATTTTAACTTTTGAATGGTCCTTGTTCAACACTATGGGACTTTTAAAGGCAGACTGAATGTGTTTTACATGTGTCTATAAGGCCAGCAGTGCAATGTTATGGCTTTAGTATAAAATGTTATACAGCTTTCCATATAGCACCATTGTTCACAACTATCAAAAAATGAAAATAACCTAAATATCCATTAACTTGGATAAACAGATAAGTATGGTAGTATACACACACACACACACACACACACACACACACAGAGAGAGAGAGAGAGAGAGCGAGAGAGAGAGAGAGAGAGCGAGAGAGAGAGAGAGAGAGCGAGAGAGAGAGAGAGAGAGAGAGAGAGAGAGAGAGAGAGGTATTATTCAACTAAAATGAGGTCTCACATATGTCAATACCGGCCTAAACCTTGAAAACATGTTATGTTAAATTAGCCATCTCCAAAAGTCAAACACTATATGATTCCAATTCCATAAGATATTTCAAGAAGTCCACCTCAAAAAACAGAAAGTACAAGAGGACTTGTACAAGGTGAAGCAAGGTTTAATAAGAAAGTGTTGGTAAGTTTATTTCTCTCTTTTTTCTTTTCTTTTGTTTTTTGTTGTTGTTGTTTTGTTTTTGTTTTGTTTTGATCTGTTTTGTTTTTTGAGACAGGGTTTCTGAGTAGCTTTGGAACCTGTCCTGAAACTCACTCTGAAGACCAGGCTGGCCTCAAACTCTCAGAGGTCCGAATGCCTCTGTCTCCCAAGTGCTGTGATTAAAGGTGTGTGCCACCACCATCCTTCTGGAGACTGATTACAAAACAATATGAATATACTTAATACTGATCTATGCACTAAAAAATGGTTACAATTATAAATTGCAATTTTATCACAATTAAGAAGACTTTTTAGGGGGCTGGAGAGTTGGCTCAGGGGTTAAGAGCAATGACTGCTCTTCCAGAGGTCCTGAGTTCAATTCCCAGCAACCACATGGTGGCTCACAACCATTCGTTATTAGATCTGGTGTCCTCTTCTGGTGTGCAAATATACATGGAAGGAGAATGTTGTATAAATAATAAATAAAAATCTTAAAAAAAAAGACTTTTTAGACCCTTCCCTTCCCATATTGCTTTTAGTCATGGTACAACAATACAAAGAAAATTAAGACATCATGTGCAGATGTCCACAGAAGTTGCAAAGCATCAGATCCCCTGGACCTGGAGTTACAGGCGATACTGAGGCACCTGGTAGGGGTGCTAAGATCAGAACTTAGGTCCTCTGTAAGAGCATCAAGTGATCTTAACCACTATGCCACCTCTCTAGCCCCCCTTCACAATAATAGTCTTAAGATTTTTTTTCAATTCCCACATTTCTCTAAAATATCTCAATTTCCTATGATTTTTTTTAAAAATTTCTTTATTTTGGAAGTAGGGCTGGGGAACTGGCTCAATGTGTGAAGGGCTGTTTATGAAAGTATCAAGACCTTATTTCATCATAATACCCCTCAAGGCTCAGATATCTGAGTACAAGTGGCAGAAAGATTTTAAGAGTTCTAGGAGACTGTGGGTGACTCCAAAGAAACAGTGTCTTCCAGACACAACAGGATTGGGACAGAGTGTTGAAGAGAAAGGGCAGTGGATGGAATAAGGGTACTAATTATACAGTTACTGTAGCAAAAGAACCTTGTGAGGGTGCTTTCTGGAATTCTTTATTTTGCTTCTTAACTTGGCTGGTTACATAAATGTATTCATTTTAGGATAGTTAATCAAACTACATATTTATGACTTCCATAATTCCTTCTATAATTGTGTCAAATTTCAATGAAAATTTAAGTTAAATAATTTTAAGTACATTCCTTTAATCCCAGCACTCGGGAGGCAGAGGCAGAGGCAGAGGCAGGCAGATCTCTGAGTTCCAGGCCAGCCTGTTCTACAGAGTTCCAGGATAGCCAGGACTACATAGAGAAACCTGTCTTGAAACACACACACACCCAAAAAAACCTTTGCTGAATAAGAATCCAAATATTCCAGTCAGCAATATTGCACTAATAGCCCAATCTCTACCCTTCTTTTGTCTTTCCCTTTGCTACAAGATTCTGTGGATTTTCTTCCAACAGAGACCAAGTATGTACATCCCAGCTGCCTGAGTTTCTGTTCTGTTAGTACCTACTTCAGCAAATGGGATGTTAGCTACCATGATATGGCCAAAGACTTGAAAAAACAGCTCTGTTACAAGTTTACTCTTTGGTATGTCTACAAAGATTTTACTGCTAAAAATGACACACACAAAGAACATCTCCATCTCTAGCCAGAGACGATTCAACTGGTTCCAGACAACCCAAAGACACACAAACACAACCATCTGACTCCAGACAACCTACAGACAAACACAACCATATGAAAGCACTATAGCCAGATTGGCTGACGAATGCATAAATCAGATGTATAAATAAATACACAAAAACTGTAATAGAATTATAAAGGCTTTTTGTTACAGCTCACTTGGGATACCCTCTTTTTGGTCTTCCATATCAGCAGCTATATAACACAAGTGCTGAGGAAATTTTCTTTCAAGAAATGATAACGGTGAACTGAAACTATAAACCAAACTTCTTGGGAAAAAAGAGAAAGAAATAACATGATGGACCACAAATAACTAAAAAAAATCTCCAAAGTTAATTTCGTTTATAATGGCAGAAGTTAAAAGGATGACTCTCAGCATTTAAAGGAACATGCTGCTCTTCCGGAGAACCCAGATTTGATCCCTAGCATCCACATCACAGCACACAAACATCTATAACCCCACTTCCCAGGGGATCTGATGCCCTTCTCGCCTCTGTGGGCATCACAGACATACATGCAGGAAAACACCAATACACATAAAATAAAACAAAATTTAATATAATAAATTTTTCATTTTGGAAATTACAGAAAATTCTCACATACACATGGATACACATATGTATGTGTTTAAGGATACACTCAAATCTACATTTACTTGTATTTTATAATTATCATACATACTTTTTTCCACTTAATATTCTCACATTTATAACCATAACATAATTTTTCAAATTATGGTTTTACATCATATAAATTTATCATGATTTACCTTCTTCTTTTTACTGAACATTTACATTCAGTAATTTTTTATTCATAATCCTTAAAGCCATTTATTCCCATTATAACAACTAAATCACTTCATTTCCAAGCAACTGATAATCCAATCATCTTTGCCTTACTAGCTCTTTTCTTCCGAGATGATTTAATTTATAAAAACTTGCCATTTTCCCCATGTACATTAACTGTATTTCTCATTCATGTTCAACTCTTTTTAAAAATAACTATTATTATTTTATTATTATATAACTATTATATTATTATTTCATATGTAATAAATTAGTAGTAGTAGTAGTAGTATTTGAAGGCAGGGTCTCTCTACTTGCTGTCCTGGAACTCGCTATGTAGACCAGACTGGCCTCAAACTCACAGATGCGCCTGCCTCTGAAGCGCTGAGATAACTGTGTGCCACCACACCCAGGTGAACTCACCTCATTTAAGAGGATTTTCTAAAGTGAATTTCTCCAGGAATGTTCATTGAAACTAAGACTAATTTTAACCTGAATTCACAGGAATGCATCCAACAATTTGGGGCATTATTCCTGTGGGTAAAAAAGAACTCATTTTTATGAAAATTCACTTTACAATCTTATTAAAAAATTCATTACCTCTTCATAGTAATTTTATATAAATAAAGTGACTAAGGAATATATTTTAGGCTGCTCCCAAGTCAAGGTCAATTTAACCAAAGTTGAATAATCAAATTCTTCTGTTTGTTTTTTAGTATTTGTTTATTTTGTGTATGAAGGAGATGGCACCAATATATATGCCAGAGTCGATTTTCTTCATCCACCATATGGATTCCAGCAACAAACTCAAGTACTTCAGTTGGGCTTGAAAGTGAGCACCTTTAAACCTGTAGAGCCATTTGCTGGTCCCAATTAGTCTTTAAGTTACAACAAAATAGCAGCATAGTAATATTTGAATTTATTCCCCCAGTGCTGGAGACTGTAACCACTGCCAGCCTACAAGTGTTCTACCACTAAACTACATCCCCAGCTCTCATTTTACTTTTTATTTTGAGACAAGTTCCCTTTAAGTTGCCCAGGCTGGCCTCAAAGTTACTCTATAACCCAATCTAACCTTGAATTTTCAATCCTCCTGCCTCAGCCTACCAAGCAGCTGGAATCATAGACCTTATCACCAGTACTGGCTAGTCTCCAGAATTTCTAATTACTTTTCTGGGAGAGGTATGCTTGGGGCATTTTGTGGTTGTTATTTTCATTTTGTTTTGCTTTTTAAGTGACAGGCTCTTGCTAGGTAGTCCAGATGCCCTCAAGTTTCCAACCCTCCTGCCTCTACCTTTTAAGTGCTAGAATTACAGGCATGTGCCACTATGCCCAGAGAGCAATTCTTATTGCCAACTGATTGACAGTCAAATCACAATGATCTATGACCTCAATGGTTTAGCTTTCATATTCATATGATTTAGAAACTGAGTAAAATAATTGCACTATAGCAACTATGAGTATTAATTTAAGCAGACCTAGATATTCAGTTATTTAGTCAATATTCTTTTTTGGGAGGAGGGGAGTTCAAGGCAGGATTTCTCTGTGGCTTCTGAGGCTGTCCTGGAATGAGCTCTTGTAGTCTCGAACTCACAGAGTTCTGCCTGCCTCTGCCTCCCGAGTACTGGGATTAAAGGTGTGCACCACCACCACTTGGTCAATATTCTTTTAAATCAGTGGTTCTCAAACTTCCTAATGCTTCCTTTAATACAGTTTCTCATGCTGTGATGACCCCCAACCATAAGATTATTTCATTGCTACTTCATACCTGCAATTTTGCTACTGTTATGAATGGTAATGTAAATATCTGAAATGCAGGATATGTGATACGTGCCCCCTGTGAAAGGGTCAGTCAACCCCCAAATGGGTCATGACCCACAGGTTGAGAAGCACTCTCTAAATGTTGCTATAAAAGTGTTTTGTTTTGTTTTTTTAAGAGATGATTAACAATTAGAATAGTAGACACTGAATAGAGTCCATTAATCTCTGCTGTGTGGGTGGGCCTCATCCATCAGGTGAGAGGTTTACATACAAGGGTTTCCTGAAGAAAACCATAACAGAAACCTAGTCTGAGTCTCCAGTCTGTTATCATATGAACTCTGGACTCAAGGCTAGTTGAACTTGCATTTGGCAGGTTGACCTACAAATCAGAGTTGTCAGATCCCAAGATCACGTGAGGCAGTCCCTTATGACAAATCCACTGCCATCTGACTGCAGAGCCATGATTAGTACTACTTTCCATTCAGGAAAAGTTAGGTCATAGCTATAGCATGTGGTCCAATGTGGTTTTGCAAGGAATCAAATACAAAACCAACTAAAGACTAAGTTTGCAATACTGACAAAGACAGGAACAGACACCAAATAATAAACACATCTGTTAAAGATATTCTCACCTTTATCACAAGAAAGACATCTTGGGAAGGATAAGTTATAGAAAAAATGGCTGATCTTGCCAGAGTGGTAATGGCAGCAGGTGGGACGTGTGGCCGTAACAATCCCTTCATCTGTTCTGAATTAAGGTCAAAATAAAAATTTTCTGAAATCTGAAAAATATATTCAGACATTACATTTTTACATCAATACAAAATTTCTGAAACACACAAAAAGCATATATGTAAATTATTAAAATACTACAGATAATAAAACATTATATTCTCAAACACTCCATTTTAATTCGTAGCTGAGTATATATTTCACTAAGATCAATCTACATATCTACATCAAAGTCAAAAAACTGTTTAAGCTACTTTGGAATATAACAGAAATATTTTCTAAAGAGTCGTACCTCAAGTTCCTTGGTTACTGAGATGATTGACTACAAATTAAATTTTAAAATTTTAGATTAATAACATCTCAGCACTTTTTATTTCATAAATATAAGCTACCAAGGCAAGTTCTCCTGCAGAAATCTACAACAGGTCACGTGGTGATAATGAAGGTACTTCACGTTTCTACTTCAGTGTGACTTAGTATACTAAAGTGAAAAATGTTGGACTGGAGACAGGGCGATTGCTAGACTCCAGGCTTGAATGTCAGAACCCTGGGCTCCATCCCCAATACCCCAGAAAGAACAGAGGAAGGGAAGGGAGAGGTGAAAGCGAGGGAAAAGAAAAGAAACATCAAGAAGAGCTGTTAATGCCCTCTGAAAACTCTGAAACTAATAAAAAACAGCAGTAAAGCTAAACTCACTCCTTCAGACACATCACCTAAACATAACACACATAAAACAGTCTTGGCTAACTGCATCAACAAACGTTGGGGATCATCACGTTTATTTTTTACATACTGCTTTCAGACAGTGCCTGTTTCTGAATTAGCTTGTCTCCCCTTCCTTCCTTCCTTCCTCCCTCCCTCCCTCCCTCCCTCC